GAAATTAGAGATCTTGTCATGTAAAAGATGGTGAGACGAAATCCTACGAATTAGTCTCTAAAGATACCTTTTCAACGAAGCATGAAAGTGGAGATTNAAAAAGTAAAAGAAATTGAAGAGATTACGAGAAATGAAGATGAAATTAGAGATCTTGTCATGTAAAAGATGGTGAGACGCAATCCTACGAATTAGTCTCTAAAGATACCTTTTCAACGAAGCATGAAAGTGGAGATTATCTCATCAAAATTTTCAAGAATTATGCTCAAGGTGATAAATTTCTTGAAAATTACACTAATTGCTAATTACAGCTTGATGTAGAGAACATTTTGAGTGACATAGGTTGAGTGAACATGCAATAATTTTTTGATCCAAGAGAGATAACACAAGACAAATTCAAGAAGTTTTGAGCAAAAAGAAGGTCTATGCACAGGAGCCAAGAAAAAAATTGGCAAAAAAAAGATGATTTGCAATTGTAAGAAAATTCATCATAAACCTTACACCGCAAAGAAGATGGCTTTGAAGATTTTTGCAATTGAAAGAGGTGAAACTCAATTCATGAAATTTGTAATAATTTCACGAAATCACTCTATCATGAATTGCACGATAAGGACATGGAGATGCAAAATCAAGCTTAAGATGAAGTGTTGGAAAATAACCTTATTTTAGAGAGTGTATTATATTATTAAGTTGTGTTAATTTGATGTGTATTAGTGGGACAAGAAATATGTAAGTACTGGAAGACAATATTATTAGTGGGTGTCAATTCCCTAAGTAATGATGTCTGAATATTTTAGGATTTACAAGTGTTAGTAAGTGTAGTAGTGTGTGAATGTAATGCTATGAATTATATATGTGATTTATATAAATAAGGCATATAGTATAGTTTTAGATGTAAATAGAATTGAGTAGCTGTGGAGAAAAGATTCGATTGGTTTGTTTTTGGACTCTAGAGGGAAAATAATTTACTGTACAAAATTTATGAAAACGTCGACGTTTGGACTTACGTGCTGTTTTTTTATTCTTGAATGATTCAAACTTGATGTTCTCGGTCTCTCTCTCATACACATTACACACATTTGCATACACATACACAAAATGGTGAGTACTTTTTTGCACTTTAGAAGAAGTGGTGAGGAACACCCTCAGAGTTATTAAAAAATGTGTGTACAAGACTAAAAGTATAGTAATGCAAGAAGTAGAGGATCCTTTATTGAGGGATATATATATATAATCAAATTAGATGGGAGGTGACTTGAGAAGCTTTCTCTCCCACTCTCCTTTTTTTTTTTAGAATTTAAAATTTTTTAATTCAAAATTTAAACCTCTTTCCAATCAAACACTGACATGTGCTATTGGTAACTACCCACCAACTCTTCAATAACTACCAATATTTTTTAAAACTTTTCAAAATAAACACCTTTTATCACCAAAAAATTTTATATAATTATTTTTTTTAACTTCTCAAGTAATAAAATAATAAAATTTAAAAAACAATTAATCATAATCTCATGCATCGCACCGGGTGGACTATTAGTGATGTATATATATATATGGGTAATGCTATTTAGACCTTTAGACTTAAAAATTTAATCTTATTTACTAATATGATGATATAATTTTGTTAGAATCATTGTATTAAATCATAGCTGCAAACCAGATGTGGCTGCTGTGTCCAAAAAGGACACTCAATCACACATGCTTTGCTGTGTTTATTGGCCTCATGAAATTTATACTGATCTCAGGAAAAAATAAAAAACAAATTAAGACTGTCAAGTATGGTTCACTCAATCTAAATAAAGACAATAAAAATAAAGACCCAATCAAACTTTGTTATGATTCTTTTTGGGTAATGAATCCTGTTGAGAAGAAGATGGAATGGACTGATTAACTCACTACAATAAAATTTGGATAATTTATGATCAAAATTATGTAATTTAAGTAGTTTTTTGACCAAAATTTGAGTAAATAATTGGTCAAGAAGTATCAAAATAATTTTTTTGTTCATATTTAATTATTATATGACAAGTTTCTGGTTTTATTGTTTTGGATGTTGTTTGTCTTCTTCAATTATCTGGGTCATGCAAAAATTGTAGGATTAATAGTTAAGATAGTTGGAAAGAGTGACAGAGATATGGTGAACAAGCGAGCAAATTTGACATTTTCTTCTATGTGGGGAGGGAGAAAAAAAAGGACATTGTTTGATTTTTTAGGCAATTTCTAAGCTCTGTCGGCTTCCCTTAAAACTCTAGTACTTATCTTCTTAGTTTTTGAGATTTTTTTTTGCTGGGTGATATAAAAATTCATAATAGATTAGATGAAATCTCAAAGAATCCCATGATTCAGTGTATTTTTTTATATTCAAGACAAGAAAGGAACTCGGCCTTTGACACCGAGGGATAAGAGCTGATTGCTAACAATGACTTGGTGAAGGGAATCTAAGAGACTGAGTAGAGCAAATGATTGATTTATTTGACCGTTTGATTGTCTTCATCTCCCCATCGGGAAATTGAACAGCTTTGTGGGTAAAATAATGTTATTAGGACTTAAAAAATTTGATCTAATTTAGTAACCTAATAATGTGACTTGGTTGTAACCGTTAAATTAACACTAAATTTTAATATTTGATAGAACTTACGGTTAATTCAATGACTATAATGGATTAAATCAGTGAATCATATCAATAAATTAGATTAAAATAGCATTGATCTTGTGGGGTTATGTTCTACCATTAAAATCCTAAATTTGTTTAATGTTTGATTTTAGGTAGTAGTTATAAGCATTTGTTATATCATTTTTGGTCTAAGCAATTATTGAGTGGGTATTATTGTTTTGTTTTGCAATTTACTCATTACATAGGTTTTGCGAGGTTACAACCATACTGGGCATTGTTACTCAGCATGCAAATATGTCCACTTTTATTGAATCTTTTATTCATTACTTTTGTTTTGTATCTCTTTCAGATTTGTTCTTCGCGAGAGATGTTGGCTGCACCACCTAATTGGGATTCTTTGGGGAGAGATATTTGATGGTGATACAATTATGTTTTTAGATATTTTTTGAATAAGTTTTTTTTTTTTTTTTATCAAACACTAATCACTTACTATAGGAAAATAAGAATAAGTTCTGTAGTGTGTAATCTCATCAACTTTTAATTGCAATAAACCATTATTTTGATCTATAACTGTTTTGTGTTATTAGTTTTGAATTACAATAAATTATTCTTTTACATTTAACATTTGTATTTGTTATGATTGAAATGGGATGATATAATGGCAGGAAATCACAAGCAATAAATTGAGATTAAAAAGAATAATTAATAAAAAAATTAATTAATTTTTAGCAACAAAATAATTCGTCTATGTGATTAGTTTTTTTTTGGTAAATTTTTTGTGACTAAAACATTTATTGATAATTTTTATTGTGGTCAATTGAAAGTAATTTCATTGCCAATTCATTTATGACATGAATGAATCCAAAGAGAGAGAGAGCCACAAGAGCTCCAAGAAGAGAGAGGGATGAGCTCCGACCCAAATCCGGAGCCATTAACGTGGCCAAGTTAGAAGCCAGAAGATTAATTTATTGTTTTTTGAATAAAAGATGTAGGGTTCATGGATCTCAAATTCTAACACCATCAAAGGCCCCACCCTCCTCCTAGAAATTAAATTATCTTTGCTTGAATGAACGGTGACTTTGATAATTGTAAATTTTCTTTTCTTTATCCACCACCACCATTGTACAAACTGTTCTTTCTTTTCTTTTTTTAATTTTATCTTCAACACAAAATTTATTTTGTATGTATGATTTTAAATTCGTTAAGTATAATTTAAATTGATAGTTGATTTAAATTCGTTACTACTGCCCGTTGTGATTTAGTGATTGAGAAAAAAGATTTGACGAAAAAGTTATGATGGTTTAACTTTTGTTGGAAAATAAACTTATTTTAAAGTTTATTATATTATTAAAGTTTGTTCTTTTGGTGTATATTAGTGAACAAGAAATCTGTAAATAGTGAAAAATAATATTGTCATTGGATGTTAGTTTTCTAAGTAAAGATGCCTTAATATTTTAAGGGCTCGTTTGGTAGACGTATTATGAGGGGATTAAATATTAGATTGTACTATTTTTTTATTTAATTGAGTCTAATATTTTGTTTGGTAAGCAAATTTGATACCGTATTAATTTCAAAAATATATTTTAATCGTATACTTATCGTATATTTTTTATACGTTAGACCTGTATTATAGAGGTATTTTAATATCACCAAAAGAGGTGGTATTATAATCCAACTCAAACGTATTATTTTACGCGTTTATAATTATAACTCCCCAACTAATAAACTCAAACTATCATCAATCTAACAAATACTGATTGATGGTATTTTTGTTAATTCAATATTACTACGATAAAATAATTTTTTCACCAAACAATCGATTGGATTAAATAATTATTATCTAACGTGTATGTTGTATATTATTAAATACTAGATAAAACTAAGTATTATTCTAATACCCTATTTAGTCTTATTTTTTGTCATTCTGTATTATATTAGATCGAATTATTTTATTTAATTTATTAATTTTTTATACGACAATCAAACGAACCATAAGAGTTACAAGAATTTGTGCGTGTACCGGTATGGTATGTGAATGTAATGCTACAAATTATATGTATGAGCCATTCAAATAGGACACAATATAGTGTTAGAAGTAAGTAGAGGTCACATTAGATAACGAATTTTTTGGTCATTAAAACACTGATGTCTTGTCCTCACCCAATAAGTACACTCTTCAGATCAGGAGGGGACGCCGGCCAGTGTTTGTGCGCGTGTGATTACGCGACAGAGAAGAATCAAAGAGACAGGAATTGTAGACACGTCTGCCCCCACTTGGCTTATATGTCAACATCTGATTGGATACCCGTAAACCTCATCCGGAATGAATTTAATCTCATGTGTACGGACCTTTAAGTCATAGTTGGAGACCAGAGTAAGGTACAGCTTTTCAGTGTCCAAAAAGCACACTCAATCCCACGTTTTGGTATATAGCCAACATGTCGAGAAATTTTTGTATGGGCCACGTGACAACCCTTGCATAGCGAAGAAAATTTTCGATTAAAGGAGAGTTTGAATTGACCCGGTTAGCTAGAAGGTTCCTTTCGCTACCGTCCTCTCTTTCTCTTTCTCGCTGTATAAATAATCGTGATCTAACCCTTTTTGATGCAGCATTATTCCTTGGAGAGGTGTGCTGCACACAAGCTAAGGCTTCATCGTCGAGGCTTAGTTCGAAGAAGACTTTATTTTTGCACATCACTCTAAATTATATTGTGGCTCAGTCCATCAAAGGCTTTATCGCAAAGACTTTATCTCTGCACCTCATTCTGAATCATATTGTGGCTCAGTCCACCGAAAGCTTTTATCGCAAAGACTTCATGTCTACACATCACTCTGAATCATATTGTGGCTAAGTCCACCGAAGGCTTCATTGCAAAGGCTTCATCTCTGCACATCACGCTGAATCAAATTGTGGCTTAGTCCATAGAAGGTTTCATCGTAGAGGCTCAATCCACAAAAGGCTTCATCGCAAAGGCTTCATCTCTGCACATCACTCTAAATCAAATTGTGGCTCAGTCCACATAAGGATTCATCGCAAAGGTTTAATCCATAGAAGGCTTCATCGCAAAGGCTTTATCTCTGCACATCACTCCTAATCAAATCGTAGCTCAGTCCATAGAAGGCTTCATCGCATAGGCTTCATCTCTCTGCACATCACTTTGAATCAAATCGTGGCTCAGTCCATAGAAGGCTTCATCGCAGAGGCTTCATCGTTTTCATCATCGTAGATGTTTCATTCCACAGAAGCAAGTATAGTCTCTCTTTCACAGAAACTCTATATTTAAGCCAAGAAAAATGAGAATTTGTGATTGGGGGGGGGGGGGGTTTGGGGGTT